GACTCCGGTTTAGAAAATTAAGGAACAAGTTAAGAATCTCCATTCCGGTTTTTGTTTCTGAGATATATCGGTTCGTGAAATTCTGCAACCGAATCTTGTTTGTTAGCGAGCCGGTTTATCAGTTTATCATAGAAAAGTTCATTTTTGGGGGATTGATTGATATTCATTTTGCTCTTGTAATTATATGTTTCTAGTAATCAAAATTTAGGCATTTCATATGCTGCAAGTATGATTCAAATGTAGATAAACTGTTTATTTTGTTAATCCTCAAAATTACTTTAAATATAGTAGTAAGTTAACTAAGGTCACTTTCCAACTCGGAAGTCTAGCCAAATTCGAGAACCAATCATGTCCTTTGCTAAAATATCGGACTCGAGAGATACGAGAAGTTAGCTTACTGTTCATTGTGCACTCAGCTCTGGTTATTTCCGTAATTATTACCAAATTCGAATGGCATTTAGATAACAAGTCATGCCAAATTTTGCATTCCCTCTCACCAGCCAAAAGAAACCTCAATTATTTTTGGTTTTAAACCATTTTAAATTTAAAAGTATCGCACAACCTCACGTTTTTATCTGACTCTGATCCCATTTGGCTAATCTCTTTCAATTATCGGAAAGAAAAAAAACAAAAACAAAATCAGCTTCTTCTCTTTTTTTCAGGCCAACGGAGAAAGAAAAATTGCTTTGTTTCTTTTTGGATATGCTGAGAAAAAAATTATGGCAAGCGTGTGTGAAATCAATGGTGGAATGTGGAACCCATTTTGTAGAGATTTAACTTGCGGAATACGTAACCAAACCAATCACTTTGATCTTGTAGGTGGAATCGGATTGAGCTAGAAAGTAAAGAACACAACGACGTAACGAGTTCCCAGCCAGCGACTGGTACTTCTCGTGGGAGCCTCTCCTCCCAAACTCCACTATGTCAAAGAAAGAGAGCTACACACGCCTTATCAATGGCGGTTTCACGTCTTAGGGTTTCTACAAAGAGATTTAGAGAGATTACAAAGAAGAGCTTAAGAGAGAAGAAGAAAAAAAATTGAAGATGATGATTATGATCTGATAATTCTCCAAGTCTCGATCCCTCTCTGTTATATTGCCTTAGCTCCTCTTTGTAAGGTTGTTGCAACCAACCTTAACCGAACAAACAACCTGTTTTGGATATGGGCTTACCATGTTGAATCAGCCCAATAACATCTCTCTCCCTTTGTCCGAATGGGCCCTTTGTGGACGAAGCCCATTTGTTTGTCAATGTATAAGATCTATCAACCCACAAAACTCCACCTTGGATCAGACACAACACAACTCGACAAACCTGTGAAACTCTCTGACATAGCGGCGAAGCACGGTGGATCCCCTTCCAGTCCAGCCGTAGCTCCGACGGTCCTCCTCATCCCTTGAACCGCAGTTGTCCTCCATCTTTGACGACTCCAGGTAACCAATCTCTTTCTTTTGCATGTGTTGAATCGAATAGATGCGATGATTCAACTTGTAGAGATTTACCGAATCGTAGAGATGATTTCGAAGCTCTTCCTTTCTGATTCTGATGCTGCTTCTCTTTTTTTATTGCATATCCACCGATCTGAGTCTTCGACGGCTTCCTCTTAACCGACGACGGTAGCTGACCCTTCAGCTCCTATGAACCCTTCAGCTCCTCTGAATGGTAACATATAATATCCGCCCCGTACTATGACTTACAATCACAGCCTCAATTTCAGAAAGTTCCTAAGAGATCCATCTATGGAGTATCCTTGGGTCGAACCAAAGGACATGTCCACTATCTTGAACAGTTGCCTCAAGAATCCATTCGCAAAGCCTGAAAATTATTAATACTAATTTGGTGGATACGCAGATAGACTCGGAATTTTGTTTAATATCTTTTGGATTCAATCAATGTAATGATTTGTGTATATGCTCTTTCCTATTATATTGATTAAACTCAAAACATATGACAAACGGAAATAACTATGAAAAGAAATAAATAAGGGAAAAACAAATTATCTTGACACAAAATAAACCTGTCTAAATTAAAAACCTTCTACACACTTGCGAGCATAACTTTCTAGTCAAACTTTTCAAAGTTTTGTAGCGTAGACAGCTTTTAACTTCGTACAAACTCCCAAATCTCGACTTCTTGATTATAGAAAAAGAACACCCTTAAGTCTTTTTCTTGTTTCTGTCCCCTCTTGGTTCATCAAAGCTGTGGTGATTGCGTTGACGTACTTGTCAGCTTCTGTGTAAACAGAGGCTTTGGCTCCTCCTTGAGTGATGCCTTCTTTGTTCTGAAAACATCACATGTTAGTTCAGAGAGATTAAATTAATTTAAAACAGACTAGAGTACAAAGAGTTTTACCTTTAGCGCGAAGCTCTTCATAGTTCGTTTGAGAATGCCAGTATCTCTCGGTGATGAGGTTAGTTTGATGGAATGTTCCTTCCATTCGTCTACAAGCTTTTTAAGAAGAGCAAGACTACCTTCAGGATTCTCGTTATACACATAGTTCCAGTGATTGCAGCATTCAACGTTCTTGGTCAGACACCAAACAGCGATTGATGTAGCTTCCTTGGCTAAAGGAGGATTATTTCCCTGCGCAGCAAATTCCAAACAAAAAACGAATATTGGTGTAGTGACTAGCCTCGTTTCCATCTCTCCTGGTGCATCGGCAAGAGCCACTTCCTTCAACAAGGGATAAACTGCCTCAAACCTCTTTGTATCCTGTGTGCATACATATAAAGAGATGATGCTTGCTCGTGATGATCAGACGCGTAAAATTTAATTTTGTCTTATGAATTTCAATAATGCTTACCTTTACTCTGTCAGATGGATCAGGGAATGTAAGCCGTAGCAAGACCCCAAATGAAGACATTGGAAGTATTCGCACTTCCTCGTCCTTAACAGCATTACTTAAGATTATGGTCCGAGCATTTGGATACGACACAATTCTGGTAAGAAAATTGCAGAAACAATATCAAATGATTGCATAATGATATATATATATATAGCAAAAGGAGATTGATGACAAAAGGAAAATCTAAACTCACTTCTCAATCAACTGCAAGACGATATCCATTGACTCAGGCTTGTATATATTCTTATCACGGAGTAGCGGTAACAAGTTATGCGACCATGAATACAAGCCTAGACATAAATCAACTTGAGTGGCCTGTCCACATATTCACAGTTTTAGTGACTTTCACAAAAAGCAAAAAATATTGACACATAAA